TTTACTATATCTTGTTTCAAAATTCTTATGATAAACCAAAAAGTACGTCATCCGTAATAAAGAATATAATAAAAAAAATGAATTCTTTTTTTATATGCAGAATATATAAATTACAACTTCAAATATCAGACAAATGCTTTATGATGAATGGTGTGTGGATGATGAAAAATGGATATAAAGCAACAAAAGATGGTTTAATGATGTCGTCTGTTTCGTGGACCGTCATTTCGCCTCTGGCCACGATTATATGGTTGATGATGATGTTGGAAATTCTTGCCTCCACTATTAGGTGGTCCATGATGCAAAGGTCCTCCTCCTCCTAGTCCTCCGGGGGGTCCTCCACGATGATCATTATTACCATGCCGACGGAACGGAGGTGGTGGTGCAGGTGGACCATTCGGTGGTCGAAATGGTGGAGGTGGAGGTTGTTGCATTGGTCCATTACCAGATCGGAAGGGTGGAGGCGGTGGTGGCCGAAAATGAGGTGGAGGTGGATGTGAAAAATCATTCATGTTTCCATTATTATCGGGCCTACGCATTGGTCGGAAAGGAGGTGGTTCCATTCCATTGGATGGTGGTGGTGGTGGTCTGAAGGGAGGTGGAGTACCTTGAGGTGGCATATTTCCTCCAAACGGATGAGGTGGTGGTGGTTGTTTTTGTTGTTGCTGCTGCTGCTGGTGAAATCCTACACGTATCGGTGGGGTTGGAGGTGGCATATTGGGTGGTCGGAATAAGGGTGTATCATTGGCATTTGCAGTTGGTCGTGGTGCATTAAGTGGTCGGAATGGTGGTGGTTCGATTCGATTCGGTGGCGCATTATTAGGTCGGAATGGTGGTGGCTCAAATGATTTAACAGATTCTTCTTCTCGGGCGGTTTCTTCACTTGCATGCTGACTTGCATCAAACTTATCAACCGATGTTTCTCCCGGTCGAGGTCGTGTCCAAAATCGTGTGGTATGATCGTTTGAACCAGAAACTAGAATATGGCCTACTGGATGCCAATCAAGAGACCATACATTTGAATCGTGTGCTGTTTCTTGTTCACCGATAGGTCCATCTTGCCTAGATAGCCAGATTGATATTTCTTTTATTAATCCTATAATCTAAAATTGAAATAATAATAAACTCACCCTGTCATCCAGAACATTAATGCACCATCAGATCCACCCGTTGCTAATAATCGTTCATGATGTGGATGCCATTTAGCAGCTATTCAATAAAAGATAATATTAATGACATGAAAATCCCTAAAGAACAACAATGCATATACCATATACTTACAACAAACTTCTCGCTTGTGTCCTCTGAATATTTGCAATTCTTTCATTACGCGAATATCATACACTCTTACTAATTGATCTCGTCCAGCAGAAACTAGCCAATTTCCGTTCTGATTCCACTGAAGTGCTAATACCGTATTTTTATGGCCATGGCTATATCGGAAAAACAGATATTGAAACGAGATAGAACGACGTGTTTAGTATCAATGACAGTAAGCTCATGGACATAAAAATTCTAAATTTAGAAAGAGAGGGATATGAATAGAGAAAAGAAACTTACAGAGTTGTGATGTTTTTTGCTGTTTTTGGATCCCATAATTTGATCAGGTTATCTTTACTTCCTGAAGCTAATAAAGCCTTATATGGATGCCAATCCACACACTTTACATCCCAACCATGTCCAGATAATGTTTTTTCTTCGGCACCAGTATTAAAATCCCAAATTTTAATCAAAGAATCATCGGAACAAGTAGCAAAACGTGTATCTGATGGGGCAAAACTATTTGAAAAAAAAAACATATTAGCTAACTACTATGTTGTTTCTTTAGTGAAAATAATAACAAAAAAAAAATGAAACGTACGTAAGATCACGAATGGCTTCCTTGTGTCCTTGAAACATTTTTAAATTACTCATGTTCGATTGCCAATACTTGACGATACCACTATGATCACCTGTCACCATCCAATTATCATTATGCGACCAATTCATTGCACGTACAGCGGAATCATGCGCCTTTAAGAAAATAGATAACAAGATTTTTTTTAAAAGTGAAATTATCAGTAACCAAGTAACGAAATATGTTATGCAACAACCAAAAATGAAGCTACGGCAACAGTGTATATTACCTGGAGGATTGTTTCAAAGTTAAACGTCAAACCATTCCATAGTGTAAACTCACCACTTGATGAGCCTGTAATTAACCGCCGACCTTCTGGGGTCCACTATAGACATAAGACAACACATTTAAATATGTCCCTGTTGACTCTTTTTTTTTTATTTTCTCGAGTAATATAACAACGTTTCAACGAAATAAAAAAAAATATTACCCGAACAACATTCACAGGATATCGTATTTTATTTGTTGAAGTATGTACGAATTTTGTGGTAACAGCATTGATTGGATTGTCTAAATATGCAACAGGTGGCAACAACTAATAACAATAATGTTTTTCAAATGGATGGTTTTTGATTTTTGTTCTTTATTATTATAACTTGTATATAACACAATTACAAGCATTTTCTGCAAGTCGAAAAAAAAAAAAAAAAAAGCACGGAAGGAAAAGAACCATAAAAAGGAGAAACTTACTTCAACAACAAAATTTGCATCAGGTCGTAAAAATCTTGTATCTCTTCGATCACGTATCCATACACGCTCCTAAAATAAAGACAAACGATCCACCAATAGTAACATAGTCATATGCACACCAGATATATTCCAAGTATAATATTCAGTAAACAATGTTATTATAACAAGAGTGTGATCATTTCTCTTCATTTTATTGTTATTGTCATTATTATAAGAAACAAAAGAATCTAATCCAATGGGAACACGTTTACGTATTGGAGGAAAAGACAAGAGAACAATGTAAAAAAAAAAAAAAAAAAAAAAATAGAATAAATCAACCATTATATACGAACCTGCATCCATCGTGTTAAACTATGATTATAATCTACGGTACGTCGCTGAATCGCTTTACGCATTCGCTTGCCATCAAACACCATTTTTGAAAAAGGAACATTCCCTTCGCCTTGCGCTCGTAATGGTGATCGACCTACAGGACGACCAACAACACCTGAAGACGATGTACCATTTCCAGCATTGTTCGTCGAGGGTGCATTGGCTACTTGGGCCATTTTATGTAGATCTGGTCGCGAAGGAAAAAGAAAAAAGAAAGACTATGGAATCGAATTTGTGCTTGAGTTTTTTTTTAAAAAAAAAAGTCAAAATCGGGTGTACAATTGTAGTTTTAACCAATTTCCTGCATTCCACTGTCACTATTACCATTGTATTACTATACTTTTTGGTATAATATTCCAAAATATATTTATCTTTATTAACTTTTAATTGATAGCAATAGACTATATCCTATACGGTGTTTTTCTGTTAATAACAAACATTGCTGTAATCAACATAGTAATCATAATGATTGAATGCAGTAATAACACTCTGACGTCAGTATTCGTTATAATTATAGAGCAATTAAAAAGGAGAGACTATCACTACTTACAGATGCTTATTTTTACATCTATCTTTAGCAATATGTACAAGACTTGGAATGCAATAACTGATTAAATAAAGCAGAAACAGTTTATTATGCGAATTTTTGTCTAATAATATTTATTGGTACAAGATAGAAATAGGAATGATGCTATAATTTTGTGTTTGTGGACTTGAATCATTATTATCTAAAGTTCGCTCAGTAAATACTCTATACTATAATAGCTATATCTACTCGAAATTATATAATGAATACTCTAATGAGATTATAGATACATTAAAGCTTTATATGTACATTGGTATTCTTCTTTTATAATAATGGAACAGTGTGTAATAAAAAAAAAACTTCTTGACTCCCTGAATATATCATATAATATTCACACTGGACATTTGACCGAATAATAGCTACTTGTTTATCACCAGTATAGATCAACGTTTCATGTCATTTTATAAAACAAAAGATTGAATCGATATTGCTTTTTTTTAACTCTATAAATATTATTGAAAGTTACAATAATAGCAGAATAATATTTTTTTTTCATTTTGCTTTCATGGTTACAAACTATGATTATTCATCTAACAATAATAGTGATAATAATACATTTTTATTTCTTGTTTGGGGAAGAGACAACTTTCCGCATCTTTTTTTGAAAAAACGCTATATTATTATAATCTGTGTGCAGTACAAAATTATCTACTTCAAATGCTTAAAATAAGGAAAAAATAAATGTCCACGAAGTAGACAACGATAATACCTTTATCAATATAAAAACTTTTTGCGTTTCCATAAAGTACTTTTCTCCATGAAGATCAATCTTTTACTGCTACAATGAATTTATAAAGATGAGGAAATTTTATAGTTTTTATAGTTTTTATAGTTTTTTTTTTTTTTTCCAATCAATCTAGCCTGATATTATTATGAAGATGAGTACTATATGACAAACAAGGTAATTGCAACTCCCCTTACCCTGTTTCCAATCTTGCTAGGGTTTTACTAATCTTTATACCCTATATCGTTTAAATAATTTAGTGACTGGTTCTCTATTAAAGCGGGTCGTAGGATTTTTTTTTACTTAAAGAAATTTTTATTATTATTTTTTTTTCTTTCCTTTTTAGCTTGTTAATACTGAAAAAACAGCTCCATTATATTATATGCAATATTTTATTATTATTTTTTTAACAACCACACCAAACTACCACTTAACCGAGACCAATATTGAATTAGCTTGTCAAAAATATTGAAATGACAAACTGACCTTAAAAAAAGGCCAATATTACCGAGAATTTTTTTTTCTTTCCTTTAATACTTTTACTAATGATAAGTAATATCATTTTTTTTTACTTAATATCATATACTCCAAAAAACCTAATGATTATTACCATCCATAAAAAAAAAGGTAAAAGTAAATTTTTTTAATGAAAATAAGTATTCAATATTCTGTAAAAATTCATTAAAAATGTCATTTTTTCAAAATGATACTACTTTTTTACTTTTCCAAAATGCCCAAGGCGAGGATTGAACTCGCGACCTCCGCGTGACTCTGGTATATCCTTTTGATATAAGCACGGCGCTCTTACCACTAAGCTACAAGGGCGTTGGTTTCAAGATTTGTTCTTGAAAATAGAAGAAGTACAAGTTAAAGAAGTCCTTTACTTAAGGTACTATCATTTTTATCTAATAAGTAATAAAGTTTTAAGTAATATATGATAAAATTTATATTATTCGAAAGAGAAAAATTAGGGCTTTTAAATGAGGTATATTTCATTCCTAAAAAATGAGTTTGAAGAAAGTTACATATTTTAGAAGAAATTATTTAATTATTTTATTTTATTTTACTTATAGTACCTATGGCCTTTTACTATTAATAAAGATCTTACTAAGTAATATTTACTATATTTTATATTATTAGAAAGAGAAAAATCAGGGCTTTCGAATGAGATACAGCTTATATTTGTAGTATTGATATTCAAAAAGTTATAAATTTTAAAGAAAACTTTTATTTTTTAATTTTTTTTAATATAATTATTATTAAGTTAATATGTAAATATATTATATATATAGGACTTAGAATCTAATCAATTAAACCAGAGTTAACTGGTTTTGAACTGAGTCGACCTATATACAATCAGAGACCTTAAACTGAAATAGAGTAACTAAGCAATTATAGTTAGGGATTATTATAGATTAATTAGAATATAAGTACTATATTAACTAATAGCTAACTGTTATACCCAACATACAATGGCTTCTTAATTATTATTATTATTCATAATAGAAAACGCTATTCACCCTTTGCCTCACTTGTGTGGTAATTATATTTGAAGCACAGCTACAGTAACATAGATTATGCTTTTCTCCCAGGCATATCATTCATTATATAAATGCATAATTCACTTCTTAATTCCTACCATTATCATTCACATGTTCTATAACTTCCATTATTTATACAGTCTTATAGTATACATAATTTAAATAATATGGTCTATAAGAAACATGATACTGTAATACACACATAGTGGCAGTCCATCCATGATGAGCAAATTAGTATAAATAGAGAGATTATTTTTGAATCATAATAAAACTTCACTAAATTATTTTGGGTCTTATTGACTTATATTGTCTCCTGCTTATTTCTTTTATTTTTGATCTTATTAATACAACACTAACTAAAGAAAATAAATAAAAGCTATTATTAATCAAATTCTTAGCTAATAGTAGTAGTTGAAGAATTATTTACCTATAGAGCAAGAAGATGTGTTGTTGTTATTAGCAGAGGTATTAAATAAGGAAAGATCTAGCAATAGGGTTATATATTTTATATACCCTATTATAATTTAGGTAGAAAATTTTAAGAACATTATAATAGCTTAAAATTTATTTTATTATTATAGAAGATTAGTTGACCTATACCTATAGGTATTTGGTTACTTTCTTTTGGTTTAATAAGTATATAGGGTTAAAATTAATTAAATGGTAATTAAGAGGTAAAACTGAAAAAACCTCTAATAGAGGAAAAAGTAATATGTGATTATGATATATAAAGCATTAATAATAGAGATATAATAATAGAGTATAGAGTAAGATGAAATAGTAATAAAATTAAATGTGATAATAAAAGAGATGGATAAAAATATAGTTGAGAATCTTTTATTATTTAAATTTGCTTATATTTATATATTTTGTCTATCTAACATAGTAATGTTATTCACTATATTATTCTAGTACTATATTTTACTGACTTTAATTAAAGGACGATGGATATCCAATTATTCAAGTATATATATACTTGGTTCTAAATATTTCCTTATGTACCTATACTAGCAATAGGTGTATTGTCCTGTTTAGTAATTATTCTTCATCTTTCTTCTATATTTGTTGTATCTAATATATAATGACTTCACAATAAATAATCATTCTTCATTATTATTATTATTATTTCTGTCATTTACCCTATATCTCACTTATGCAGTGATTCTATTTGGATGATTATTTATGTTACATATAGTATTGCGCCATCCTCTCTCATATATTGTTAATTATACTGGGTCATACAATCCTTCTAACAATATCACTTATGGTCTATTTTAAATACACTATCCTTATAACATACAATCCAAATGATATAATCTATATTCTGATATTACATCATAATGCACAAGTTATGATAGTCCATCCATGATGAGCATTTTCTTATAAATAGAGAGATTATTTTTTATCTTAATAAACTTCAGTTGAATATTTTTGGGTCTCATTGACTTATCTCATCTCCTGTTATTTTCTTCTTATTGTGATATTTCTCTCTGATACAACAGTATTCTATATTATTAGTAATAAAGAATGAATTAAGAGTGATATAGTGTATTATTGGTTATATTACGTTTTATTATGGAATGATGTTTAACTGGTTATTTATGAATAAGTGAATCTATCATATATTAGTGTAGTTCACCACATAGAGTATATATTGTAGAGAAAGAGAGAAAGTAGGAATTGAAGGGGTAGTGTAATGGTACATACTATTACAACAATGTAACCCATACAATCAAAGATCAATATATCTATGGATACAATAAATATATAATGTCATGGATCAATAGATAACTGAACTGCATGGTATAAATAGAAATATAAGAAATATTAGATATTCTAGTTATTAGTGTAGATCATTTGTATTTAGTATAGATGTTAGATTAGCCCCTTATATTCTGACATATAAAAAGAGGGTTCTTATAGACTAAGATCCCATATTATTTTATTATTATATATTACAGTTAATACCTTTCTCTATCTTTTGTTACTCATACCTCATACTTCCTCACCACATTGTCCAACAGAACCTAATTGTAAGTATACAATGTTGGACCTATGCTATTACAATTTTCCATTTTTATAAATCGTTATTTTCAATATATATATATAAAGGAGGAAAATCTAATCCCTAGTCAAACAAAAACTCATTTATATACTTCTCATATCACTCTACCTATATAGCATATTTTTTTTACATACAAAATTAACATAAATTTTGTTTAAAATAGAGGAAATACTTAATAGTTCTTATATGACACACAATGATAAATTTCATACAGTCCAACAGTTTGCAGGGAAAGATTTTGGGGTTATAAAATATAATAGTAGCCATTGTTTTTGTAATATTTTATGCTGTCATGGTGGTGGAACAAGAAGTTATCATAAAAAAAGGTAAATTGATATACTATAAAATATTTAAATTTATGCCTTTTGTTATTTTACTATGGAACATGCAAACACTTATCATGTAGTTAAAGATTTAACATTTCTTCTATGTAAAAGTTGCCTTTATACATATAATGTATAACTATAGACAATGCTAGTAGCACCACAGACGGCAATAAGAAGCTGACGTATACAGATAAAAATGGAAGAGAAAAAAGGTGTCTATGGAGAAAGTCAAGAAAAGTTCATGATTGTCCTTGGAAACTTACTATAAGTTCTATTAAGGCCAATAAATACAGATAGGTTTTTATTACCAAAATCTCAGATATCAAGGAACATAACCATCCATTGAGCAGCAATCCAGCAATATACCCTGAAAATCGTCCAAAGGGTGCCCAACAGCACCGAGATACTGTTAAATATTTATAGGCAGGAATTAAGCCAATGCAGATTATGAGCTCCAAGCAATCAACAATAATTCACTACCCCTACACCAAAATTGACACCAGTAATAGTACCACCAATTCTTGATCAACGGCAACAGTAACAACTGCAATCTAACCATAATCAACGTCAACACCAACGCCATCAATCAAACTTTATAGCTAAAGATTATTATAACCTGAAACAACTAATCAAGCCTAAAGACAATTACCAAGAAATGGCTGCAATTGATGAATATTTGAAAAGCAATGACTATGTTCTGCATTATGATGAAGACAAAACTAATAATCGCATCAAATCAATTTTGTAACACACCAAAGATGCTTTGAACATGCTCAATTACTTCCAGAGGTCATTAATATCGATACGACATATAAAACAAATGGAAATAATATTCCACTTGTAAATATAGCTGGTGTAGACAACTTGGCATCAGCTCAAAGCCAATGCAGTTTTTATGCACATGCTTTATTACTAGTATTGTTATCATAAACGAAAAAGTAATATCGTACATCTGAGTATTACAACAGTTGAAAAGCACTGTATGGAAGTCTGATTGGAGGTCAACACCAAAATTAATTGTAATGGACGACGATCATGTATTGACCAAAGCGCTCCATGAAAATTATGCATCTGTCCCACATATTCTCTGTGATTGGCATATTAAGAAAAATCTTTCTGGAAAGATTTTGCAGCACGTCAAATTAAGTGGTAAACCAGCAGAAGATGAAGAAAATGAATTTAAAATTGTTATGAAAATGGTCGTCGATAATTTGCTTTATACAAGAAAGTCTGTCGATTTTAATGAAGCCGTGAAAAACTTTATCAGTGAAGTGAAAAAGGTTTGCAAGGACAATAAAGAAGGGGCTGTGTAATGGTATAGACCATTACGACGATATACAACCTATAAAGTCGTTGATCAGTATATCCGCGGATATTAATATTTACAAGGATAATTAGATGGATCAATATGAATAACCACATGGATGATTATGGATGGACGCATAGTTGTATATAGAAATATAAGATGGACCAGTATAGTTATAGAAATGTAGATCATTTATATTAGCATAGAGGCTAGATTAGCCCCTTATATTTCGACGTATATAAAAAGAGGGATCTTGTAAACCAAGATCCCATATCGTTTTATTATTCATATATCTCGACCCTTAACTACTTTATTATATTTCATATTCGCGCTTCCTCACACTGTCTAATCGAACCCGTTTGTAAGTTATACAAATTAGATATGCGTAATTATAGGCTGATAGTATAATTGATTATCTTAATGAGTAAATGTTGATAGTATATATAATGATTATTTAATATAATAACATTATTGTTTGTTTTAATTTATAAAATCAGTGCTAATACTATATTACTATCCTTTTTTTTAAAAAAAATAGTATTATGCTTAAGTATCGTGAACGATGGGCTGGTCCCTGGGTAGAAGCA